ATAGTCAAGCCTTGGGTTTGACGATACTATTGCCGATATTGGAAAACCATGACTATATAGTATCGTGAACAGCCCTACTGCACATACCAATATGTCGGTCTGGTGGACCGGTTGAGACAACTTCTTGGATGTGCCGTAGGTGGCCCCAAAGCAGTGAAGGTTTCAATTGAGGCCACTGGGCGAATTGTTTGAATCGGCACGAGTATGCCCATTTTATCAAGTATGCCGCCGAAAGTAGAGCCAATATTGCAATAACAAAGTACATTGTAGGTCTTCTCGGCTCCTCTGCGTCTGCAGTACTAAAGACCAAGTAGCTAGCGGCTTCTTTATATTGGGAATGCTCCTCGATAGGATGAGTGGATAGAGCCAATCTGGCGGTGTAATGATTCAAGACGATAGAGCCACCTGAATGATAGGTCGAATACGATTTAGAGATTTCCGCCAAAATTTTATTGCCCGTGATTACTCTGCGATAATATGCAACAGCATGTAAGGAGAAGTGTCGATCTCTCCTGCTTCTTTTCATGTCGAGCATTATCGATTCAATCAAATACCGAAATATAACCCTCACCCCCCTTTTTTTAAGAGATATAATAACACGATTTGTTCTTTTATGCTTTGGAGTGTGCTCCTTCATTCTATCATAGCCTCTACCTTGCTCGGCTCTTTGGCATCAGAAATGGGTACTACAATCTGCAGGAGAAGGTGATTTTCCAGTTCCTGTCCCGTTATTTGCGCACAACCAAGCTAATCAACGCGACAGTCTCTCAAAAAGTCCGCCCATAAAAGATGTATTGGCATCCTCTGACATAGGTGACCGACGAATTCGCACGTTTTGGATCCTGGTCTTATGGAGTCAGATGTCCTGCTTCGCATGGTTGCTGTATTTTTCTTGGAACGCAGGCCTATTAACAGACCAAAAAGCTCCTCTACCAGTTGAGGTACTAGCCAATGATAATATCTACAGTCGTACTAGATATGCAACCACTAACTGACTCAACTCTTCCAGCAAATCTCAGAGCGTTTACGTTATATTGATGTCTTCTTAGCGCTCGCCACCGGCTGTGCCCTCGACGCGACAGCGATTGTCTTTAACTTCAACCGTTTTCTTATTCAACAATTTCATTATTTTATAAGCTTACGGATTTTAATGCTGGCAATGTTAGTCTCAGTCTCGCTGCCTCTCGCCATTCATCACAAGACGCCGAGAATATGGGTTTCTGCGCTCATCATCTGCGGCAGTGGTTTAATATATGCCTTGTTTATTATCATTACGGACAGATTGCACACACTTTTCTCCGACAGGCGCCTCAGTGCTAGACATGGTTCCATGTCTCAATTCGTCAAGCACATGAGCTTAGTCGATATATCATGGACACGCTGCCTGGTTGCCGCATCTGCGAATTTGTTGCTATACCACTTCCTGGCTGCATTCGTCTCGCCTAGCTGGTCTCCGTTGATCCCCATCGTTCAGATTGCCTGTGAAGTAAGCCCTCTGGATGAAGTTACTGCAACCCTCTCCTCGAAAGTTTGACTGATTCTTTCGTGAAGCCCATATTCCATCATCTCGTGGGGGCTGAAAAAACCCCTCGCTATAACATGCTTGTCGCCCCCTTGCTGCATGCTAGCAACTGTTTCGAATGGGGGTTACGGCAAGTGGTTGAGGCCCCAAAGCTCGCTGTGGCGCCTTCAACATATCTCACATTAATAGTGACCAGCCGTCTTCTGCTAGACCTGCATCTGTTGACGGTCTTCCGCTACCGCAAGGATCTGCAATGGGCCAGGAGACATATTCTAGTACCCACTCACAATCTCGTTGGTTATATCATCGCAATACTGTTAGTGGAGAATGCGGGGGTCCCTGTTGCAACGTATATCAAACCGATTGTCGTCCTTTTCATGGATAGTGTAGGCTTCTTGCCGCACATAATCCCATCAAGCTACGCTATTGCTTTTGACCAGGTAAAAATTATCAAATCATAAATACCGTCAGCTGTTGCTGGCACCTCTCTTATCTACCATATTTTGTAGGGAAAGGTCTGGAGAATTAATTAGTTAAAACGTGCGTCTGCCTTGCGCAACCACTCTTGCTATCAATCAAATGAGCAATAGATCATTCTATTTACATAGCGTAAACCCTTGCGCCATTGATTTGACTAAATCTTAAATCATGGGAACTAATGCCACGGACTTTCGATAGTTGCTCCGTTGCAGTGGTGATCCTACATCTTCACTTGGTGGGCCTAGATACCCGCCTCAGAAACTGACTCTACATAGCTGCAGACTAATAGTAAAGTGTGATTTCTGAATAGGAATGGATCAATCACTTGGTCCCTGCAAGGGGGACAATAAAACATATTCGGCGATTCTCTATCTTGTGGTGAAACAGCGGTCAATAAATAAAATCAACACGTAAGAGATCAGCATACCTTGACCCATCGGATACGTCATGCATACTCATGAAATGGTTGCAGGCACAGCTAGTGAATAATTATATACTAGCGTTGGGGGTGCAGCTGAAGCAGAATTTAGAATTCTGAATTTCGCAACACTTGCAAAACATCGACCACACAGCTCGCGTTGGTTGGATGCAGGTAGAAACTGAAACTTAACTCGGGGTAGAAAAATGGACCCCAATCAGCCCCCTGCACGACTGTACTTCTTCACATATCCCAGAACCGGGTCCAATCTACTCACCCAGTTACTCGCCCTGGAGGATCAGCCCAATGTACACTGCCAGGACCAGCCCGATATTGAAGGAATGCGTTTCTTCCTGCCGCTGCTAAAGCTGAAGATCAGGAGCGGGCACTTGGGAACGAATGTACAAGCGCTTCCATCAGACCAAAGAGAAGAGCAAGTGCGGTGCATAAAAGCTTGCTACAGCCGTCTACTTCAGCATATTCGAAACGCCGAGCGAGAGGAGAGAATAGTCTGCTTCAAGGATCACGCCCACTACATCACCGAGCCAGTTGCAGAGACACGCCTGTTCCATGGCGAGAACAGCGTGACTGACGAACTTCCTTGGACTTTACGAGGGCCGGATGAGCTTGAACAGACCGGCTTCGGTCGCTCAGTCCTTAACGAAACCTTGTTTACCGACGACTTTCTAAAGACATGGAAGCCTATCTTTCTTATCAAACACCCCGCGGCGGCATTTCCCTCGTTTTATCGCGCATTGGTTGACACTGCGGGCTGCAGCTTTGTTGAATCCGATCAGGGCCGAAAGTTATACCAGAAGGCCATGGCCTTGCGGTGGGTATACAAGTTGTACAACTTCTACTCTCAGCACTTTTCCAATCTCTCTCGTGAGCATGGAACTTGGCCTGTGGTGATTGAGGCAGACGACATTATTACTCAACCTGAAATCTTGGTCAAACTCTGCACGATCACCGGCCTGGATAGTTCGAGGCTGCGCTTTACTTGGGAAAGCCAAAGTCGCGATGAGCCGCCGGAATGGGAGGCATTTCGGAGAACCCTTTGGAGATCTACGAAGATTGATAAGTCTAGAGCTGTGGGGCATGTTGACCTGGGCGAGGAGTCGGCCAAGTGGCAGCTAGAGTTTGGGGAGGTGATTGGCCGCAGGATCGAGATGTATGTGCGAGAGGCTATGCCCGACTACCTATTCCTGAAGTCGAAAAGACTTCGGATTTGAGGTACAGTCCAGGAAATTTCATTCTGAATTAGGCGGGTGATTGTACCAGACATTGTGTGTTATTGAATGGTTCTATATATTAGTATAGCGTGAATGGACTTTTGTTTTGCAATGGGATTACTCCGCCTAAAGCCAAGTGAAAGAGGTATTATATACAGCAGTAGATCAAGAGTCGCCAATCATATTTCTGCTTGAAGCATGGGATGAAAACTGCTTTACGTTAGCCAGTCTTCATTAGTTCCATGCATCTTTTGTGTATTATCAGGGAGCAAGTCCGCGGGGATCCCAGAATGAAGATCCAGTATGACTCATCTGAATACAGTAGACAACTCGATCAGGTATCTTATCAGACATGTCCCTTACCGTGAATTTAAAAGGAGCAAGATCTTAATTGACAATTATAGGTTCTAGTTATGGATGGGTCCTGCAGCTTTGTGGATAGTAACATGTAAGGGCAGTAGCTTACTGGGATTTAACATTCTACGTCGCCCAAGCCTTTCTTACTACTCAGTGTTTATTTTTATTCTCTTCTTCGTTGGTAAATTCATGATACTGTAGCCGATTTATCACAGTACTTCTATAGACGTTGTTAATCTCCTGATGTGTTACCCATAATGACAGGCCCCGACACCAGGAACTCAAGGGCCATCGTGGTAACAACTTCACCGATACCCTCACCCTCAGCCCCATGTGGCAATAACGAAAACAAAGAACACCATTCAAACAATGCGCAGAATACAAACGCACTCAGCTCAGCAGAGGATGAGAATTTGGTAGATTGGATGGGGCCAGACGATCCAAACATGCCCCTGAACTGGCCCCGACAACGAAAGGCCCGCATTATTGTCGTGATAACCGTATGCCGGTTCATGGTGTAAGAAACTCATAACCAAAGGAAAGTTGTTCTCGCTCATTTATTCGGGTCAGAATGCTCGCGTCTTCAATGATGTCTCCTGCCCTGGGGCAGATTAAAGCCGAGTTCAACGACTCTACCCAAACCCTTATCACCTTCACCGTCTCGATCTATGTGAGAGAGCCCCGATACCGTCCTAGAGAGAAGAACCTCTATTTAAACTCTTTTAGATCATTAGTAACGCCGTCGGTCCTTTGGTCCTTGCCCCGTTGTCAGAGACATACGGTCGCTGCTGGATCTACCACGCCGGAAATGTCATGTACACTGCGTTCTCGGCGGGGTGTGCGTTGTCGCCCAACGCTTCGGCACTCCTGGCCTTACGCCTCCTGGCGGGATTAGCCGGCAGTATACCAGTGACCACTGTTGGGGGAACTATTGCGGACATGGTTGTCCCAGAGCGACGTGGCTTGTATGCAGGTACTCGTCTTCATACCATGGGTGGATAAGGCTGATAGAGTGGTAGAATCAACAGCATCCTCGGGGCGACCTTGGTCTTTGCGCCGACTCTGGCGCCGGTGGCAGGCGGCTTCTTGGCTGAATCCCAGGGCTGGCGCTGGATTTTCTGGTTAGTCACAATTGTGGTATGACCGCTATCACAGACGGGGATGGACATGCGCCTATATTAACGCACGCATGCAATCAACAGAGCGGTCTGACTACCATGCTCGGCTTTGCGCTCCTACGAGAGACGTACAACCCCGTTCTTCTCCAACGCAAAGCTGCACGTCTGCGCCAGGAATCAGGAAACGACCAGGTCCACACGCACAACAGAACAGACGAGCTCCCCTTCATGCAAAAGCTCGGACGCGCCCTCCGACGCCCAGTGGTCCTGCACCTCGCCAGCCCCATCCTGATCATCGCATCTCTCTATCTCGCCTTTATCTACGGCGTCACCTACCTCCTCATCACGTCTATGCCTCTCGTCTTTCGAGATGTCTACGGCTGGGGTGAGGGAGCGCTCGGCCTCTCATCTCTCAGTCTTGGAGTCGGTTGCTTCATCGGTATTTCTCTAACCGGCCGATACAGCGATCAGATCTACCAGCGCCAGAAAGAGAGGTCCGGTGACGCCAACCAGGCGGAGTACGTCGATCCTGACTCTCGAAATCCTTTTCCCCCTTCCAGAGCTAACACTTTCCACCATCCTTAGATCGCGCCTCTTCTTCCTCCTCCCGGCAGCAGTCTCCCTCCCGACCGGCCTCCTCATGTACGGATGGACGGTGCACTTCCAAACCCACTGGATCGCCCCCCTCATCGGCACCGCGACCTTCGGCGCAGGCATGGCGCTCGGAACCGTAAGTTTCACTGCCATCACATATACACTTCTTATTCCGTCATTTCCAGTCCCAACCGCCCAATCTCATGCTAAAGTGTAGTATAGGCCGCCATGTCCAGCTACCTCATCGATGCGTTCTCCACCTATGCCGCCAGCGCCCTCGCCGGTGGTCTGCTCCCACTCAGCGGGCCCGGGATGTACGAGAGACTCGGCTACGGGTGGGGGAATACTCTTCTTGGTCTCCTATCTGTCCTGTTTGGGGGCGGCTCGCTGGTACTTTGGGCGTTTGGGAGAGAGTTGCGGGAAAGATACTCTGTGGATCTGGAGTAACCATTCATTTGCAGCTAATTCATGGCATATATACGATGAAAAAACCCGTAGATTTGTTGAATGTTATCATGGGAAGAGAGAAGGTTTTCAGAAGGATTGCAGAGCTCTTTAGATAGTCATGAGTTGAATAGATTTCTATATAGTACAGGGCTTTGAATTTCATGTGTTGGTAAATATATACCCATGCATAATGATAGGTTCTTTGCCTGCCCTTTACCGGCTTTCCCGATTGAAATATCCCTTACCTCTGATAGCTCCAAAAATGACCCCTCACTCTCATAGCAATTGCCAGCTTCTCAGGCTATTTAAGGGAAAGAGTAGGCACAATATTCGATTTAGACATGCGTCTCAACAAAAGACGCACAGCTTAGACTCGAAGTACCCTTCTTCCTCCTTTCCGTTCGCCTGAAGTGTCTAGCCCAACCAACACGATGGCCATCAAAGTCAGCCCCAGCGATCAACAAATCGAGCAAAGACCCGACATCGAATCCCAGATCCTCAACGCCCTCTTCTCAACACCATACAGCTGTCTATCGTTGAAGCAATTGAGCGGTGGGCTGGGCAATTTCACATTCCAAGGGACTTTAGAAGTACCACTCTCACATAACCGGAGAAGCGTTATCATCAAGCTAAGTTTGGCACACACCAAAACTGGCACCTTGGTCTTGCCGACAATCCGCTGCGTACGTCCCACATTCCTTACTGCACCCTTATCCCCCAACTTACAACGCACAACTATCAGGCAGCCGAAGCCGTATCTCTCTCAATCATTTACGGCTGCGACTTCACACACAACCACCTTGAAATTCGATCTCCCCGCCACCTTCATCTCGACACCTGCACAAATCTCCAGGTCATAGAGGATATCCCCAACATTGGGACCCTACGAAAATTCCTCTTTCTCAACAATGTGCTCCCTGACTCAACCGCAAGACTGATAGGCCACGGCCTCGGACGATGGCTCGCTGCCTTTCACGCGCGCGATTGGAGTCAGGCTGGTGATGACGCAATAGCGACATTCCATCGGAACACAGCTGCTCTACGGACACTAACAATGCCATACGAATACGCGATGAGTCTGTTCCCCAATGATTCGCTCGCTAGAGCGAGCGTCTTGCATGCGTTCTCTCCGGATCACCCCAGCCGGCTATGCATTATTCATGGGGATTATACTACGAGAAAGTACGTTATAACAACTCCCATCCTCCCAAGGGGGCAATCAAGTAGCTGTTCCAGCTAACTAATCTCCGAATAAAGCTTTCTCGTCCAGCCAAGCAAGAGCCCGAAAGACGTCAATTTGTCAATTGTTGACTGGGAACTCTGCCGACACGGCTGCATCACAGAGGACGTAGGCTCTATGATCACATCCCTCTACGTTCAGTGGCGGTTTGAGGGCTCGCCGTGCGCTGAGTTGATCCTGCGTGGGTTTATTCGTGGATATGGTCTGTTGGACGAGTCATTGGTCTTTAGAATGGCTGGTTTGATGGGAATCCATCTTCTCATGTGGGAAAAGCTGGGTCTGATGAGCGGGGGAAATGTGGACACACGGGCGCAGGAGCTCCAGGCGCATGCGAAGGAATTCTTTATCAACGGGGCCCAGAAGAATATAAAGTGGTTGATGGATTGTTTTTTGGGCCAGTTTCTGAGGGCTGAGTAACAGTCCTCGCTGGGTCCAGAGGAATATTGACTGGTATTCACATCTGAAAATCTGAGGATTCATATACAAAATGAATATCGGATCGATTTCTAGTCAATCCGATTGTATCTGGAATAAATTCCGTATACGAAGCTCTATTGCTTACTTGGTCGAGCCTCGAATCACAACAGTAGGATCCGGAGTAGGGCTTCGCAAATACACTGTACTATGTGTCTGACGGAAGTTACCTGGTGTTAGCAGACGATACTGCGAATATTCATCCTAAGGCTCGCACCCGAGACTGACAGGTTTCATCATTATAATTAAAGAAACTACTGGTCATACCTTAGAGAAGGAATAGATCCCATAGACCTAAAATGCCGCAAGGGGTTAGCCCTTACCCGTCTGATGCCCCAGTAGACAGGTCAATAGCCATCTCTTATGTCAGCATTCCCACCGACATCTTCGCGGCGGTTTCGGCCGCGAATGGTTTTGTTGAAGATGAACGAAGCAAAGTTTTCCTTGGGGACGCCACCGCGGCAGATCAAGTCCCGATACTTGTCCGTGAATCCTTCCCAGGGAGCGATGCACTTGAGGGACGGTGGCTTTTAGCACAAGCCAGTGCAAGCATGGCGAATGGCCGGAGTTGCTGCGAAACTTTGTCTCGAACTCGGTATCCACCTAGGACGCTTCTTTAATGGTGCTCTCGTACACCCGGATCGATTCACCGATGTGAAGCGGCTGTTCGCCTGTGTGTATGATGTGGACAGGCGATGTAGCTTTTACTCGAATCTGCCCTGGACACTTCATGATAGAGACATTGATATGTCCACCCTTCGACTAGTGCGTCTGGCTACCATCACATTTGATTATACCTGGCTAATCCTTTTTATTTAGGACCCACAAGAATCTTACCTATCCACCATGATATCCTTGGACAAAAGCCTCTCGGAGACATGGACTATCATACACGCTCCATCATAAAAATCGGATGCAAACCATGAACGCGTCGGTTCCTCAACTTTCAACTCCAGAAGCTCGTCGCCAGTCTACCGACCGGTGACTTCACGCCGTTCGAGCCGACAGTAAAGCCACCACCCTGGCTACAGACCGGTCTACAGCGGTTCTGTCGTCTTCGTGTGCACCACATCAAAATGCTGAATTACATTGGCTCGTTTGACTCACTAAGAGGTCTAATCTCCCAACCACAGGCAGCCAGAGCTCTCATCAGCTCTGCCACGGAGTCGGTGGAGCTCCATCTCGAAATGATGAATGACGGTGGAACGAGTCCGCTCCTAATACCTCTGGCAATCAAATTTCTTCTCTCTGCTGTCTCATTCATGATTTTGGTGGTCTCGCATTATCCGGAAGAGTACGGACCGTTATGCACCAAACCCTTTCACGCCGCCATTGAGATACTCCACAACGCGCAGCAAAGCCGTAAAGACCCGAGTCTTGACGTGAGCAGTACACTGGAAGAGCTACGAAGGATTGCCGAAGTAATTCAATTGCCATCACCGCCACCACCCAGGCAATTAGCGCCCGTGACTTTGACAAATGGCAAACAAGACACCGACAATAATGCTCATCTCAGTCAGGCATATGGACCAAATGTGTTTGATGAACTTAAACCTCCAGAATCCAGTCTCTTCTCCATGTTAGGGGATGTCAATGTGGCGGCAAATGATATGTTGTATATGGACGATATATTTAGCTAACTAGGCCCTGTCACGGATGGCCTAGAGTTCGGACATGTAAACCACGAATTTGTATGTATGCTAAAACCAATGAATTGGTCTAAACGATAGGCTCTGGTACAGGTCCATTGTTTACATCAGAAGGTCCCTTAATCACGAGCCCTCATTCACGCTGGCTGCTCTATGCGCCCTCTGGAACGAACATCCAAATGTCGTGACAAATGTCACCACCACTGACTCACTATGATTCCGACAGTCATTGCAGAGGCTATGTAACAGTCGAATGTATATCAAATGCGTGCCGCTGAAGGTGCATTTTGCACGAGAAGATCTCGTCGCAGACATTACACGTTATCTCAGATTGCGTGGAGACATGACGAAGATGTTTTCGCTTGATGTGCTTGGTAACATCTCCATGGCTGGAGAATTTGTACGTTCGCTTTCCAATATCTAAATCTGGCTGACCAAGACAGATGAAACAGAAGAGAGGTCTCTTAATACCCTTCTCAGAGGGCTTGTCCTTCATTACCGATTGAATCGCAGATACCAGTCCGTCATTCATCGGAGAAGAAGGCCGCGTCGATTGTATCTCTCCTTTGACACCGTCATCTGGTCCGGTGGCGGCGGGCTCTGTAGGGGAACGCTTATCCTGCGGAAGACGGCAGGTATCACCTTCTTCAAAAGGGGCATAAGCAGCTACGGCATCAATTGCTTCCGTCCGTCTAGTCACTTCCTCTTCGAGTGTCGGGCGAGGTAGGGTAAGGAGACTCTCAATCAGTCGCTTCTGAGGCAGTGGTATCGCTTCTGAACACTTGAGAGGTTATTCTTCCTCTGCCAGGTCGAATCCAGACAGCTGACGTCTGATTTCCAGCATCGGTTGCTCGCGGTCGTACCTTGCCTGAACCTGAGTGAGCAATGCGTTCCTTGCTCGCTGCCTGGCACCGGTGATCTCTTGGCTAAGCTTTTTGTACATTTTGTATTTCTCTGTCCCATGGTGATTCGACAATGGGCGCCCCATTTGGCGACTAAGCTCGTCACGTCGGCGGATTAGGCCAGCGATTTCTGGTTCTTGATTGATGGAGGACGACTGTGCGGTAGTCAATTCCTGAGGGCGATTCGGATCGATGGACCGGCTCATCCGGCATGCGGCACGCATGATGTCGTCTTCAGGGTCGAGACCACGAATCGAATGATGGCAGGGAGGTTTTTATTGATCCTTCTGCTGAGATAGTACCGCAAAAGGGTGCGGGTGTCGGCATGATGCATGATAAGATTGCGCAGTGAATCACTAACAGCTCCTAAAGACCGTTAGCCGGTGTATAACAGTCACTCATGCAATATAGAACACACTACTACTGTCCAATGCGGTTCCAGCTCCGTATCGCAAGCTATATGGACGCGTGACCTGCGGAAAGCCGGTAATGACACCCATCTTCTTAACCCAAGGCTCAATGGTCGTATACAAAAGCGGCCGATCAATGGATATAGAGATGCCTTGCAGCGTTCTTTCTGACCTTCTGAATATGGGAATATAATCCAATGCTGGGTCCAGAAGCAAAGGGAGCTCATTACATCCATCTGGAATCCGAAGGCATGGGATTTGGCTTCCGGAGATAAGCATCTCCTCACCTTCGACACGGTCAAAGGCACGGTCCGCAAAAAGAAGTCCTAGCAGAAAAACGTGGGGGCTGAGGACAAGGGAAGGGTCAAAAATTATTTCCGGTAAGACATATGTGTTTCTGAAGGACAGGTCAGAGGTAAATAATAGTATAATAACCAAGGACTTACGCATCCTTAGCACCGAGCCATTCTTTTGTAAACTCGAAAGTAAATTCAATGATAGTCCTATGAGGTCCTCCCTGGGGGTCACGTAGCAAGCTAACGTGAATATGCCGATATCTTAAACTCAGACTGGCCTGGGGACGGTTTTTTGTTAGCCCGGCAAGCTGCAAGAAAAGCGCAAGCTCAATACGGTGATGGCCATGTCCAAACTTCTTCTTTGTTGTGCTGACGGTTGTCTCTACAGCCTTGGCCAAGTCATCTACATCCATTGGAGGCTTATCACGACCCCTTGTGGACAATTTATGTTTTTTGGCCAGACTTCGGAGCACCTAGTTGTATATTAGCTCCACGTCTTGTGTGCATCTTGTATTAAGGCAAGAATTGTTTGAACATACACGGCGCATCTGACGGTTCATTTGGTTTGTAATTTTATACGAAGTTGCTCTTTCGAATACCAGACGGAAAACTTTCCAGAAGGTATCAAGTGAGCTCTTACATTTGATTCCTGGGCGCCGTCTTCCATCCTTTCCGCGTCGTAGATTGAGGACCCAATCCAGGAATGTATATATGATCGAAATCGACAGGCGTGTAAATTCTTCCTGGGGATCTTTTCGAACAACAGCACAAAACCTGCATGAACCGGAGTTAGAAATCAAAAAGCGCGATATCGATCGATGATGTAGAATCATACTGTGACCATTTCTCCTCCACTCGGTTGAGCAGGGCAGTGGTGCCCTTCCCATAGTCCTCCTTCGTGTAATCTGTCTCATTAAAATTCGTAAGCTGCTGGATATAGTATTCTGGCGGATGCTCGTTATCCGCAAATAGAATTGCCGCATCATTTAAATCGTGAGCTTGCGAGCCCTCATCTTCAGGTTCAGTTAGGTCGGTGTCATATTGACTATCTTCAGTGCTCTCTCTTTCGGAAAGGTCGCTGTCGTTAGACGAGTGATCATCATCTGTCGCTCGATGGCGGCGAGCCATGATAAAAAGTCTGCCTCGCAATGAACAGTGAAACACGTTTTGATGTGACGCTTCCTTGTAAAGGATCTGTGGTACTAAGTGCTCAGGCGTAGATTGGGTTAGAACAAATATAATTGTATTGATGAAGGGACACAAAGGTATTTAAGTGGACGGCCACCGTTTATAAATCACTTTCGAAAAGTTGCCATTTTTGGCACGCTTCAGAAAGAGCAGCGAAGTGTATGGGAGTTCACATTGGCCGGCCTCAGAAAAGTGTGCCTGAATGTATACTGCGCTGCGGGCAAATGAGATTGGGGTGGGTCTACTCTCGGGGCTTGGCGGTGCGTGGATGTAAGTCCACCAAGGCGTGGTGGAAGGCGTGGCAGATCGACGGCCAAAAACGGCGTCGAGTGCGGCCGTTTTAGGCAGCTTGTTTGCCGTCTTCTAGTTTAATCTAGTTATTTAACGATCGAGTTATTTGATATTTTCCTGTTTACACAGATACAGATAATAGGGTCTAAGCAAATAGGACTTTTTTTTATCCCTTCAATCTACCGTATATTTAAGATAAGTTGTTTACCGTTTAAACGTGTCAGTTATTCTACGCGACTAATCAGGAAACCCTTAAGTTAAAATTAAGTTAAACGGCTTGTTTATTGATTGCCCTACATTTATTGCGTTATGGTTTAGATAGAATATCCCTTACCCGAATTAGTCAATTTATATTTATAGGTAGGATAAGTATACTGAGGCCTAATTGATATACCGTTTAATCTAAACCCAGAGTATGTACTGACTTGTTTCAGCATAACAGGCTCTATCTCTTGGGAATGAATTGACAGCGACGAATGCGCCTCTAAAGAATGGACCTGTTCCTTCTTACTATATAGCCCTCGTACCACTCTCGAGGTCCTTGTCTCCCGGTTCTTACCAAGGAAACGTTGAATTCATATAAATATATAGATTAATTGCACCGTACACATAATCGCCCTGGTTCAGAATACCAATCACCGAGCGGCAGAAGGTGTAGACATAATTCGTTAGATTCGTAAGATCCGGGTGGATGCGTGGCGAAACAGCATTTCGTTTCATGTCTTAAGAAGTTCGTCGATATCAAGACGACGATAGTAAGAGATGTGTCCCATGTCCATCCAGTAATGCGCTATGCACTCGGGGTTGATGAGAATAAGTTGCGAGTCAATGAAGGAATCTGTGCGAGTCAGAACCAAGTTATAAACACCGCAGACACAAAGATATTCGGTGAGACCTACCATCCCTAAAACCGAGGCCAGCTACGTGGCCTCGACTCTGCACGATCCTTGCTCCTTTGAAGAGAGCTTCATCTGCAGTGCGAACAAACCCGCCAGGACCAATGTCGTTTGAAATAAAGGTAATCTCTCCTCGCGGGACATTAGGGTCTCCTGTGAGCTTGACCGCCTCTAAACTGCCCCGATGAATAATCTCGTCACTGTCGGATGGCGGTTGATCAAGATGTCCGCCGTCCGGGTCACGTTGCAAGAAGAGCAAAAATTCACAGCCGTGCGCAGAATAGTCCCCAACCCAGATTCCCTGGTAGGGCTTCTCCCGCGTCGGAGTATACAGGTGCGGATCGAGTGTCGAGTAGGTTGACAAGGTTTCACTACGGCCTGCCGTGAAGATGGGCATGCCAAGGCGGAAATGGGCCCATCTTCTAATCCGGAACGCATGTTCAGACATCGTCTCCAGATTCGGAGGGCGACATGTGCCATTTGCCAAGTGAGGCTCGACATCTCGGTAGACGTGGTAGTCACTCGGAATGGTAAATGGCGGCCACAATTTGTTGGGATCCGGCTCTGACGGGTTTTCCGCGGAACAAAGCGAGAAGGCGTTAAATACATGCTGCGTCTCAAGAGCCATAGGCATGCGGGTTTCCCCATTCAGATAACGCCGTTCGCCCTGGGGGTTTTTAAGGAAAAGGACGGGGTCGTCCAGCCAGAGACTGGCTTTGGGATGGAAGGGTTGGACCATGACATCGGGATTCCAACTCCACATGTGGAATGGTTGGCTCCGTCGTTCCGCAATGACACGATAAGCCTCAATGACACCCCGTCGATGATCGTAACGGGCCAAAATCAAATTCCCCGTATGCTCCGTGTCCGAAAACCAGACCTTCTTCTGCGGGATGAACCAGCACGGGTGGTGGGCAATGTAGAGACTGCGAAATGAGTCGAAAGGGCCCGCATCCTGGATCTTCGTGGGCAAGTAGGAATTAATCAGATCCGCCCATAGAAAGTCGTAGGTAGCATGCTCGGCGAGAAATCGACAGGTGGCCGAGACACGAGCGAGATCCAGTGCCGAGAGATGAGATAGGATAAAATGAAGGATCTCCGGCGGGAGCTGCAGAATAGGAGCTTTTCCCACGTCGAGGGGCTCTTCAGAGAGAGGTCGAGACGCTAGCGACCGTGGCTGCTCGTTCACTTCAATTTCCACCGTTGATGTCTGGTGATACTTCCTTAAAGCCGGGTCTTTGTTGTCCAGGTCCATCGACGCCACGGCCATCAGGGTCGTCTTTGGTGGAAGACGAAGAGGAAGAGACAGGGGGGTTAACAAGGAACGGACTCAATCCCACTGGCCGAGTGACCAGGCGATGAGCAATATAAGGTGTCGTGGAATGGAGGGGAGGAGACGGAGGTGCACGGAGAATGATAGGTGAGAATCGGCATAGGTAAAGAAGACAGCTAACAGGCTTGATACGAGTCAGGAATCCCAGGATGCAGGTGGTACGGTGTACTACGGTGTTGGTGGTAGTAGAAGGGAAGTAAGGTCGGAAAGGAGGAACGACTCGGGAGAGCTGACTGGATTGTGTGCGTGCACATGACGTCATCTACAGCACTGTCGACACCACCCAAAAGGCGACTTGGGTAGAGAGTCTAGGGTTGTAAGTGATGCATTGTGCTCTGTGTTTTATTCCTTGATCTCTCATTGTGCTGCTGCATGACAGAAGATACATGGTCGGTGACTCTCCACGAGGAGGGCGACCATTTGACAAACCTCGGGCGAGAGGGCGATAAGATAACGAACCTAAGAAGCTAGCCAGACTCGAGAGATCCCCACGTCTGTCGGGAGACAAAAGGCATTATTATGATTTAATCTGATTTATGCAAGGGTGAGTGCTGCCTGAGGGTTCAGGCGTCCCCGTGGTCGGGCCATTTGTTTACGTCCCAACGAGGCAAGAGCGAGGGAGCGCGTAAGGAGGCCGTAATCCCGATGGGGACTTCCGGGGTAACCAGCCGTGTTTGACTTTTTAGTTTAGGCAGTCTGTTTGTTTGTCACTTCTGCCTGCGGAGTCTCTCGAATATGGAGGATATCTTAACTTCTTAGCACCCCGTAGTTTTTGTTGTTTATTGTTTATCAGACAATCTGCAGCATTCTGGCCGCTCCTCGTTCCATGGCTCCCGTCGAAATATATTAATTAACCATCACTTCGGTCTTGCTTGCAACCGCATCTACCACCGCCTCACACCCCCACATTTATAACCATGGTGATGGATACCAGGCAGTCTCGTCGAAAGAGACGAAACAGTGCGATTTCTGCCTCGGATCTATGCTCCTCTACTACCTCATCCAAGAACACTCGACAGACCAAGGCGTCAACCTGCGAGACTCCCCGCCAGTCAGCCAAGAGGGTCCGTTTTTCCGATCCCGGTCCTCAGCTGCAAAATGACTTGACCTATTCGACCGGGCTCACGCCTGCGATGCTTCGCACGTCGTTTGATGACTCGGCAAACTCAGACGTGCCTCGTACCCCGAGTCGGGCGGCGCGACGACGCTCAACGCCGCTCCCGCGGCGCCGTTCGTTGGATCCTCTGATGCCGATGGACCCTGTTACTTCCGAGCGCGTGGTGCAGTTCACCCCGTTGCGGCAAATCCTGGACTCTCGGACCCAACGGCGAATCCGTCGGGTCGGGCTAAGTGATGAGATCAATAATCTCGAACGCGAGAAGCGGGAGGTTGCCCAATACGAAAAGTCCCTACAGACCCTGTTGCAAGAGAGGGATGCTCTGAAAAAGGAGCTAGAGTCGAGTAAGAGAACTCGAGACACTCCCGACAGCCTTCCCTCGGGCGAGGATACTGTGTGCATGTCACCCCAGGCGAAAATCGATCATTTGGAATCCGAAAACGGTCGCCTGCGGGAGGAGATCTCCTCGTCCTTTATCCATCGCTCCGATACCGCGCCGTCTGAAGGTGACACTATCAGCATCGAAGATAGCGGGTTCGAAGGGGATACGATACTCATGTCCTATTCTCCGGATCTCCGTGGGTCCGACGAACATCCGACGCTTGGCTTACATGATCTTCCTCCTCTAAGTCCTGAGCGTTCGGTTCATGAATCCTCTCCCGCGGCGCCCGGGTCTGGACACAGCCGAGACGGAGAGATCCTTGCCCTTTCACGGGATCTCGAAGCCGCGAGGAAGGAAAAGAAAGACCTGTTTAACGCGTGTCGAGCTCGGTTTGCCTCTTTGGAGGGAACTCCATTGGAGCATCATCTGCGCCAAACCTCCCCGCCACCAGAGTTCTTCGATCAGCTTGTGCCTAGTCTAACAGAAGCCGTCTCACGGGCCTCTAATGCCGTTGGCGCTCTTGATTCAGTCAAAAGGGTAATCTCCGGTCTAGGTTTCCCTGGCGAGGACGTGGAAGAGATCGTCCACGAGATGCGTGATAGGTTCCGCTCAGCCCGCCTCCAATTAGAACGTGCGGTTCCCGGTGAAACCGCCAACGCTGGCCTAAACGACGGGAATGCTACCTTGGGCGCCTTGGTGAAGCGCGTCGAATTACTTGTCGGGAGTCTTAGGGAAGAGCAAGTGCGCCATGAAGGCACCGTTGGCCGCGAGAAAGCCTTGCGTAGACAGTTCGACGATTTGTTAGTGCGGTATGAGGGCGCATCGAAAAAGATTGGAGACCTCGAAGCCTCTATGGCTGCATCAGCCGGAGATATGCTCCATACGAGAATGCGACTGCAGGAGCTTGAACGTGAAGGACAGGAGCAGATCGTCGGGATTGACCGACTGAACGTGGCGCTTAGCAAGTATCGCGATGAGGTCAAGAGTCTTGAGCAACTTGTGACGGACCTAGAGAAAGAAAAGGTCTCGGTCAACAAGAAACACAATGAACAAGTCTCCGAACTGGAGACTAAAATGGCGGGCGAATTGGAAGCCCGCCGTGCAGCGGAATCGGCTCTTGCGGAGCGAGAGGCACGGATTCATGGATTGGAAGCGACCGTCGAGCAGAATCGGATTCGCGCGTGCGACCTAACCGCGAGGGTTGAGTCAATTGAGCGAGAACGTCGACAAACCATTGAGAGCCTGGAACAACAAGCGACCGACCAACTGCAGCGCCACCAACAGGAAGTGGGATCGATGAACGTCCGTGTTTCAGAGCTTACGACATCGCTTGAAGGCGCTAAATCGGAGATGGACAAACTCCGTCGCGGCAACACAGATTTGGAGGAGCAATTGCGTCTTGAAGTCGAGGCCCGAGATAGTCTGCTAGACAGATGGGCTGCAGACCAAGCGCGGTCCTTTGCCTTTATGAAGGAAACAGTCAATGCAGAGCGGCGGAGAGCGAAGGTCCGCACCGCCAATTTCGAGCTCAAGTCGGACGAGCTGCAATCCGACAGTACGAATCCAGGCAGTGAGCCGATCACTCCAGTCAGCATGACACGGTTTGTCGACGTGGAGGTCGGACGGGGAAAGCAGCGGAGAACATTTGACAGTGGAATTGGTATTCTTACCGACGACCTCCTGGATGAGGCTGGTGAGAATGACGATCGCAGACTGCTTCCTTCTGATCCAGCCGATCTTTAATTCTCTTTGTACTTTCTTTTCTTTTCTTTTTCTTTTTCTTTTTTTTTGGAATGAGCAATTTGCGATTCTTTCCTTTGCTGTATGAGCAGTGTACTCTTGCTGTAAACTCGGGCTTGGATCTCGGGTGCTTTGTAAAGATAGCCAGAATAGTTGAACAGAGAATGAAAAGTTCGTTGATCTATAACTAAAACCACAGTACCGGAGTACTCCGTAAGTACTTTGTTGGCGTGAGGGCGAACCATGGATGATCTGTCGATGACGTCGTGTCGATCCTCAGTCAACTGCTCTCCATGGGTCTCGACTCTTGTTTCTAATGCTCTCTTATCAACTGTTAACCATTAGATCCATTCATACATATAGACATACAGAAACCATGTCGGAGTCCGGCGACGCCCAGAAATACCGATTAAAAGTCACCGCAGGCTCCGAATACAACCCAGACAGCCATCGCATTGTACCCGTCAACGAAAACCAACCGCTGTGTATCGACAACGAGCATGCCACGATAAGCCTCTGCGTGCGCATCCAAGACTACACCGGTATTTTCTGTCTACCCTCATCCCATTGTAATACCTAACTAACGTTATCAAAAGGCTATCCCGACGATTCGCCCCGAACTAACCCCTACTTCACCCACCCTCTACACACATCCGACCAATACTCCATCTCCTTCGCCATCGTCTTCAAACACCCCGTCCCCGGCACCGACCTGCTCTTCGGGAATAACTTCGACCGCCCTATCCGTGACCGTCTGCCTCCCGGCTTCAATGCCGCGCTGCGTCTCGTCCGCTGGTCTATAGATCCGACGCTTGACGGCGATGCGTACGCCGATCAGCCGTACTTGTTCAGCCCGGCGCTGGCGACGTGGAACCAGTTTCGGGTTGGAGAGAAGGTAAAAGGGGGCGTTGAGGTTCCTGTCTTGCATGATAAAGAAGGTGGTGTAGTAGAGGAAGGAGCGGATGGGGATGGAGTCCAGATCAGAGAAGAGCTGGGTATTCCTGGGGATGTGACTGGGAGGAGGAAGTGGTTTCAGGATGAGGAGAAGAGGGAAGAGTTTGTCTTTGAGGAAGGAAGGGCTTACTGGGTGGACTTTGGGAATCCATATTTAGGGTTTAATGGTATGGCTCTTTTCTTTTTCTTCCTCCTTGATGTTTTGTTGGAGTGGAGCGTTGGATGAGTGGTTAATTTGCGGAACAGATTTCTCATTACGTCTCCCCGGTTTCAACATTCATATTCTACAGTATATAGACGAGGATAACCACGAGTTGCGATATGTACTGAAGAACAAGACTACGGATGAAGTCTACTTGGTTGTGCTGTTCACGTTGGTGCTGCAGTGATTGTCTAGCCATTGCTAAGCTATCTGCGGGCATGTCCATGGCGCAGTGCCTTTATGAAAGACAATTGAATTGAATGAATGAGCCCAGCTTTCAACAACCGCTAGAAATCCCGCATCGTTCCTCTCTCGAAAACAAGCCTAAGTAGGAAGCTCGTGAGTTTCACCGTCGGCGTAACTGGCCAAATATCGCGTAACCAAGGACATCGAATCCACGTCCTGGGAAAGAAAACGGTATAACCGCGACATTCGGACCACGAGCTCAGGGCCTTTGCAATATGCCGTCAAAATCCTCCCTCGCCATCGACCCATGAACGAGATCAACATCACCTTGAGAAATGTTGTTAGATATGTCGCATGCAGACAAAGAATTTTTTTCGACTTACTGGAATAGCCATATGATGCTGAAAATCCGCTTGATTCAGTAGGGTTCCCATCGTAGCAACGATCGTAAGGAGTTCAGTACGCAGGATTTGCTTCGGATCCCCGTCGATACTGCTGCACATGCATATCTTGATATGCGGCTGCCCTGGCAGGGTCCAGTGAAATTGGGATTCCCATTGGTCATTCCATTGGGGTATTTGCGAGAAATACCTTTCGCTGAACGGTATTGTCCTGTAGAAGCATGAACAAGGTTAGCCAGGAGGTACGGTTTCGGCTTTGAGCGTCTTCACCTGGCGCAACGCCACCCAGTCAGGTCGCTTAGAGGCCTTGCATTCTCCAGGGTTCCAATCCTTGGTGCGGTCTCTACCTCCCAAAACAGACGGTCGCTCATCAGATTACTCCATGCGAGTATTCCTTGCGGAGAATATACAACGCACGCATCTAGCCGGTTTTCTCGGGTTTGGTGTTCGGCATGTGTCTCGCCTACTCGCAGATTCTTCGCATGCTTCGCCATCTGCTCGGTCGTCCATGGTGTGAAGTATCGACCGCAATCTCCTGGGCTGTTGGCATCGAAGTATTGGACATTTATTATCATGTTCTCAAGATCATTGCCGGATACGAATGCCTGATTGTGGTCTTTCAGCACCTGGAATAATTGGCGGAGAGCACATTTGATGAAGAATCGATCGAAAACACGTTTTCTCTGTTCCCGCGCGTCGTTGGAGTTTCCAGGGGAATAACTCATGTTTGCAGATGTATTCGATTGTGTTAATTAGAGGGCAAGTTGGGGTTGATTTGAACGAAGGCAGAGGAATATACTAGAAGGAATGAAAGTAGACGGCGACATCTATATAACATGATGAAGGCCTGGTTTGTAGTAAAACATCCGGCAGGGACCAAATGGCAAGACAGCTGACAACAAACCGTACCGCTGATGGTCCATTTGTTAAAACAAAGATGAGTATAAACTAGGGCAAACGTAAGTTTCTATTTTTTGTTGGTCGGGGCTCTGGATGCCAGATGAACATACAGCTCAGCGCAGCCCGACTGGCAGACCATCGTTTGCACCCCGGTGGGTCAGCTCCTGCTAGGAGGCGAGGACGTCCTTCCGACGCCCAATCGGCATTCTGTTCTTGCGTCTGCAGGCTATCGGAAGTGGGCTTGACTAGTCCGGACCGTTGATTCGTCCAGGTTTGCTGCAACCTGGCCTCTAGGGACTGGGGGGACCGCCCACTGCAGGGACAGGAGAATAGTGATACATGGTTGATGGATTGCGTCCTACCGCAGGAGGCCGTGTATGACAGGGGTTCGTTCCTTGATCTGATCTCTGACGATGCCCGATACAGAGAGCGAAAGGCCAATAGGAGATCAAGAATCGGGCCAAAGTAAAAGGTACTTCGTGCAAGGGGTCTGCCGCGGCTAGACGACGATCAACAATATGAGGCACTAGGGAGGCGATAAAACGGCGTCAGGGCTTGAAAGGAAACCCACCCATATTGGATGTAATCGTCATAGCCATTCTAGAATGCCCGGGCTGAGACGGAGGGAGCCACGTAGGGATGACCACTCGTAAGTGGTGAAGGGAAGGTGAAACTATTAAAGTGAAGCCGCGGATCCGACCCCTGAAACCGCTGCCTCAGGCCTGCCCCCCCGTGTCCCTCCACTTTTTGTCTCTCCTTTCCACTTTCCACTTTTCCTTCTTCTTCTCTTCCTTCCTTCTTCCCTTCGTCTTCTTCTCTTCTTCCATTTCTTGTCTGTCGGTCCTTCTGCTCAAATCCCAATCCCATCATTGATCCCATAATGTCCGATCCGTACTTTGCCCTGTCGAATTTAACTTCTTACTAGCTTTGTTCTTTCTCCACTTCCACTCCTTTGGATATCTCCGCGTTGATTGTTTGGGTCTGTTTACTCTGTTGATATCACGTCACCCGCTCCCCTCACGTCAAGCGCGTCCCGTCCTTGTTGATTTATCTGCATCCCATCCGCGTCCCAACGTTGCGACCTGACCAGCGGATTCGTCGGGCCCTCCTACTTCCGCTGCAGACACGCTGCATTTGCTTACCCCTCAAGCTGCGACCTGCCGCTATCCCACCTCGTCTCATCACCCGCCCTCCTCTCTTCGCCTGAATACTTCGCCTGACGTGGCTCTCCCTTTCAAACGAGACGTCATGAATGACACTGGCGCTCACCCAGGCGTGAGGAATCTCCTTGCCCGGTTTGAGACCAGCCAGAGCAACACCACCTCGCCACCTGACCGCGGTCGGTCTCCTGTCGATTCGGAGTATTCGGGCTCGGCCAGACCACTCTCTAAAGTGCGTGCCAGCTTTGTCGCCGTCGACGGTTCGCAGTCTCCGGCTGCTGGTCTGCGGAAGACTAGTGGTCGCAGTGATAGCCCCGCCGCTCCGCTTCGGGTCAGAAGCTTCAATTCCGACGACGTGCCCAGCCTGAAAAGTCCGCTGTCGGCATCCTCCCCCACCAGCAGCGGCTTTCCAGCGGAACCAACTGCGATGGAGAATGGGAACGACTCCAAGGATACCGGCTCTCAGGGACCGTCTGAGTTCCCGGCCGTTGTGGTTGAAGAAGGCATGAAGTCTCCGGTCAAGGAAGCTGTGTCATCGCACAACAAGGAAAACCAGCCTGTTTCGGAACCTGCTGCCCCTGCCCCTCCCGTTGCCTCTCCCGCAAAGACCACCAAAACCGTTACCAAACGACCCTCGACAATTCAGGTGGGAAAGGCCGCCGCTACCAATAAACCGGCGTCTAAGCCGGCCCCTGCCACCGGTCAGAGATCTTCGGCTCAGCCGCGTACTCCGACCTCGCCAGCAAAGACCGAAAACGAGAAGACCCGGACGGCTCGCTCCCCGAAGCCCCCTACTACTGCGGCCAATAAAGCTTTCACGCACAAGTCCAGCCGGGCGTCCTTGAACCCTGCGGCGACCAGGACTACTACTACACGCCCTGTCCGCGCTTCGATGCCCGCGCGCGAGGCCACCCAACCAGGCGTTTCTGAAGCGTCTCGCACCACCAAGCCCCGATCCCGATCCCCGGCCAGGTCTACCCGTCTGCCGCCCTCCGCCACGGCCCCAAGCTTGTCCTCTGGCGCGAGCAAAGCAGGCACCACGGGAACGGCCACCTCTCGACTTGCTCGCAAGCCGTCGACCCTGAAAAGTGCCAAACCTGGGACCCAGCAACGCGCAACTACCCCCACTGCTTCTAGCGTGCGCAAAACCTCCCGCCCTTCCCCTCCATCTGGAGGCGAGCGGCCCCAGTCCCGAGTGAGCAATGGCAGCTCTAAGCCTGTCGACGAGAGCTTCTTGGCTCGGATGATGCGCCCCACCGCCAGCTCTGCCAGCAAGACCCACGAGAAGGTCGACGTGAAAAGTCCTCCCCGGACCTCTAAGCCGACTCGAGCACCGGTGAAGAAGGTTGCTTCCAAGGCCGAGATCCGCGCGCCCCGTGCCAAGCCTGTTGAGAAGTCTCAGCCGACCCCCGTTGAGAAAGCGAACGATGCCCTGCAGAAGAAGATCTCCACGGAGCCGGTCATCAAGGAAGAGGCAACCGAGGTCGTTTCCGCCGAGCCTCCTAAGCCCGTTGAGCCTACTGCGGACTCTCAGGAGAAGCCTGCCGAAGCTCCCGTGGAACCTACCGAATCCACCATTGAGGAGCAGCCTGCCGAGACCCCTGCCGAGACCCCTGCTGAGACTTCTGTTGAGACTTCTGTTGAGCCTGCTGCAGACTCCGTCGAGCCCGTTGTGGAGGTCTCCACCGAGGAGCACGTTGAGCCTACCGAGCCTTCGGTGGAACAGACCACTGATGCTGTTAAGTCGGCCGTTGAAGAGAATGCGGCTGCTCCCGTTGAGCCCACCGACGCTCCTGTCCAGCCTGTGGACCTGGATGAGAACGACTCGCATGTCGAATCCCAGGAGGCTGCCGAGCCCGCAGTTCCCGAACAGACTGTGACTGACAAGTCCGCCAGTGACCTTGTCGAATCTGCACATGAATCGAAGGACACTGACGAGATTGATATCGCCAAGTTGTCCCTGACCTAGATGAGACCCTCAAGCTGCTAGCAGTATGGATCCCTTTGTCAGCTTGAATATCAAACAGAAAACCCCATGTTTTCTTCTTTTCAATCTGCTCCCATTATCTTTCAATTCTTGTCATCTACTTTCTTCGTTATACCCTTTTCATAGTCGTGAAACGATCAGTAGACAGATCTTCGCGCAACTTTTCTCTATTTCAAGCTGGATTCTTTTTCTTTTTCTTTTTCTTTTTTTTTTTTACTTGATCTGTGCCTGCAGGTCTCGGTTTCGGGAAAGCATTTGTGTTCTATGGTTGGAGCAAGGCCGACAATGTGTGCAAGCTGGAGCATCTGTATGGTGGAGTTGTGTTTGGTCCCATTTGGTCTTGTCTTAGCGTTATATACTGCATCTTGCATACATCAGAGTTCTCCAGGACTAATTGTTTTCAATTTTGTTTCGAGATTAGTGTCGTCTTTTAATTGAGATTTTGGGGTCAACTACAGTTGCTCTCATGTTCTGAGTTTCTTGATGGGTCCGATGAAGGCCTTAGATATTTGAATTCTAGGATACAGCCCTGGCTATTTATTGTTTCTGTTCCTTCGCGATTTGACGGTTTATCAGGCGCTCCAAAAGGCCCGTCACGTCTTCCCTGTCCATGAACACTTCAATGACCCTCAATCCAGTTCCAGACTGAATTCGATCATCGGAAAGCACGGTTTGTAGCTCCTGATATGTTCTGGCACTGAAGTTGTTCCCTAGCTGACTCTGGTCCGCCCCAAAGAAGCCCAGTGCGTGGTCATGCCGCCACGCCGCAATGTCGTTATACGCCTGTTTTCTTCCGTGGATCGCCCGCTCGATGGTATATCCCGCATTATTGATGATGAAGAGAATGACGTTGAGCTTCTCGCTGAGTATCGTGCTGATTTCCTGCACGCTCATCTGCAGGCTTCCATCGCCAATGAAGAGAATGGCACGGGCGTTATCATCCTTTTTCAATTCTCGCTTCGCAATCGCGGCACCTAGTGTCGCAGGGAGCATGTATCCGATCGAGAGCCAGGTTACTGCGCCGAAAAGACGTGTGTCTCGAGGGAGCTGGAACTCCCGTCCTCCGTGCGATGCAGTCCCTGTCTCGGTGAGGATGAGATCGTCTGGGCGGAAGAGTGGGTTGACGAAATCATAGAAAGTCTTCTGCGTGATCGGTCTATCAAGGTTCATGGTTGCTAGGTCGGTATGGCGGAGCTTAGGGGGGCCGGTGACTCCGGCAAGCCGAGCGCCGTCCAGGTTCTGCAGCAGTCGGGGCAGAAACGAACGTGGCAGTTCACGGAATGTCTCCTTGCCAACGAGGATCCGGTCCGGTAGAAACGAAATGGAAACCGATTCCCGCGGGATGGTCGCGAAGCCCTGCGTGTTGGTGTCGCTGTAATGCGGACCTAGGTTGATGATCAGATCGGCCGTCTCGAAATACGTCTTCCATTCTTCGCTTGCGAGTGGCCCCGAGTAATGGCCATAGACATTCGGCAATTCTTCGTTCACCAGGCTTTTCCCGAAGACCGTGGTCCATGTCGGCCACCCGGTCTTTTTAACGAGTTCATCCACCTCGCTGAGAATCCCCAGAGGTCGACACTCACCGTCGACCAGGATCAGCGGCTGTGTTGCCTGGTAAATGCGCTCCTGGACCTCCTTCAGCAGCCCATCGTCCTCACCATCCACTTCCAACAACCCCGGCACCTCCAATTCAAACTCCAGCCTCTCCGCCGATACCAACACATCCACCATATCGTCCGGCACCTCCACATAGACCGGCCGACTGTGCAAAATCGCCTGCTTCAACGCCCAATCCACCTGCTCCGGCACCGTCCTCTCATCCACCAAATTTGTCTGCGCCACCGTCACATGTTCCGCCATCTTCCCGAACCGCCGATATTCACCGTCCGCAAATGTATGATGCATCAGGGTGCGCGAGTCCTGCAGCGCGCGCGCCGGCGTCCCGACGATATGAATCACCGCCGCCTTCTCGGCATATGCGCCCGCGATGCCATTGATGGCGGACAGCTCGCCCACGCCGAAGGTCGTGATCAGCGCCGATTGGCCGTTGATGCGCGCGTACCCGTCCGCGGCGTAGGCGGCGTTCAGCTCATTGCATGTCCCCACCCAGTGCAGACCTGAGGGGGTCACGAAGTCCAGGAGTCGGAGGTTGTAGTCGCCCGGCACACCAAAGATCGATTGGACGCCTAGCTGGCGGAGACGCGTGAGGAGATAGTTTGCGACGGTAATAGTTTTGGTTGGGAGCTTGCTTTGCGTCATGGTTCTTTCTGATCTAGATCTGGACTGGATTGAGATATTATTCCAGCGTAGATGTGAGTGCGACGTTGAACTTTAGGAGTAGATGGTAAGTAGGATGAATATATGATAGTCTAGAGAGAGAAATGAGCTAAAGAAATAAGAGGAACAATCCATGTCGCATTTGGAGTATGTATGTAGACGTAACTCACGCCCTGCGGGAGACCACCTGACTCTCTTGACCGAGGGTAACCTCATCTAACCCCTCCTCCAATTCCATTTGCTTTTAACTATTTCTTTCTTCTCTATTTTTCGATTTTGATGAGATCCGAATTATAATTAGTCACACAATGAGATCAATATTTACTAACTCCTCCTATTGAAATATGTACGGTCCATATAGATATAGTAGGTGTATATATGCCCTTCTGAAGTACTACCGGTACCCGAGGGCGGCCTAGAGGTGGCTAGCATCGGAGTAAAGTCAATCGGATCGGAGTGCTCGGCGTAAACCCAGACCTATCGGCACTTACCTAGCGAATGACGGCGCTTCGAGTCGGCGGTGGCATATCGACTTGGGGTAGCTAGTCTAGATAGACGTCATGGGATTGGCCAACACCGCATATATAATGAGTGTCTTGGGGTTATCGCATGCGGGGATGATTGCGGGTCCGGTTCGGGGTGAGGATTGATAGATAACTAGGGAGGCTGTTGATTACGTATTGATTAGGGAGATTGAATTGGATTGGATTGTGGTTCTGGTAATGGTTTACAAGTAATTGATTCTGGTTGCTTTGTACATAGTAAGTGTTATTATTGTTAAATTTAGTGTTGTAGGTACTGTGATTAAACTATGTAGTTTTGTAGTATATCAGTGATGCTAATGCTAATTTGCTTTTACTGAGGAATCCAAGCATACAATAGTTATGTTAAGGAACTCATGTTACGCGAGGTGAAACGATCACAGTCAATGGTTGTCGAAATTGTAGGAGCTATAGTTGTTTAGTAAGTAGTGAGATCTCGCCGACTACTCCGATATCTCTCCGTATGAACTAAACGGGCTATATAGAATTGACGTTTGCCTTCAAGATTAGAAACATAAATTCCTAACTGCTCAACTGTTAAGCCTGATAATATGCTTCAACGGCATTGTTACTCATGATAAAAACCCAGTTACCATGTCTCGTCTATCAATCGCCGACATTGACTCTCTCCGGGCCAATTCCGCCCCTATCCCCTACACCGTCGCCCCAAACACATCCTCCGAGTTCTTCAAGTCTGCGCATAACCATGAGAAGCCCAAATCAACCCCGCTGGACCACCACTTCAGCCTCGAGGGTCAGGGGTTCCAGGGCTCCGCGATGAAGAGATCCGCGAGTCCGCAGAGTTCGCGCAAGATCACCTCGCTTGGGACGGGGCGGCCGACGGCGGAGTATTATCCGTGGGATGCTCTGGCGTTTGAACTAACCTCGATGGCGTCTTTGCGAAACGAGAATGGGATCGAGAATGCACTTCGGAACGGGTCCGGTCCGGAAGTGGCCACGCAGACGATCGGCAAGCACGACGCAGGATATAACCTATCTCTTGCCTTGAACTATGGCCATGCGGCTGAGTCGCCGCACCTGCTGCGCTTTGTGACCGAACACGTTGAGCTCGCACATAACCCTCCCTATGTGGACTGGGGTACGGCCCTCACGGCGGGATCGACGTCTGCGATTGAAGATTGCGTTCCGCATTTTCTGTAACCGTGGGGATACGATCTTGATGGAGGGGGTATACGTTTCCTGGAGCGGTTGAAGTGGCCGGTTTGGTGGGGGCTCGTATTCAAGGGGTGGACATAGATTCGGAGGGGTTGAGTCCGGATCATCTGCGAGAGCTCTTGCGGACTTGGGATGAGGAGGCACGGGGACCACGGCCGACGGTCTTGTATACAGTTCCGTCGGGGCAGAATCCGACGGGTGCAACGCAGTCGGTGGAGAGACGGCGGACGATCTATCAGATTGCCGAGAAATATGATCTAGTTCTGATCGAGGATGATCCGTATTATTTTCTCAGACTGGGAGATCGTCCCGACGGTATTCCTTCTTATCTGCCTCTCGACCGGGCAGGCCGCGTTGTTCGACTTGATTCTGCATCCAATATTCTCGGCCCGGGGCTGCGCGCGGGCTGGGTGACGGCGAGAAGGCTGATAATCGACAAGTTCCTGGCCTACCACGAGGTGGGCACCGTTGCGGTGAGCGGCCCAACGCAGTTGATGTTGGGGAAGCTCCTGGATGAAACGTGGGGTCACCAGGGTTTCTTCTTCTGGCTTGATCGTCTCTCCCTCAGCTATCGTTCCCGCCGAAACATTCTGCTGGAGTCCTGCGATCGGTATTTGCCGGGGGAGATTTGTGACTGGATGTCGCCGGAGTATGGGATGTTCCTCTGGATCAAGTTGGATCGGAAAATGCACTCGCAATTCCGGAGTCAGACTGAATTTGAAGATGTGGAGTCAAAGCTCGCGGGTATAGAGGACCGGATACTGAAATGCGGGCTCCAGGATGGTGTACAAGTCACCAAAGGGTCTCTTTTTTCAGTGCAACAAGGTCCTCACGGATGAACTGCACTTTCGACTGACCTTTGCGGCTGCCCTTGAGGATGATCTGACCGAGGGTGTGAGAATATTTGGCAATGCTGTGATAGAGGAGTTTCGTTAGTCCTGATGCAAGTACTTAATTAATTGATAACACCACCTAAACCTCTGTTAACCCTGAATCAAAAGCCACCAAAGAAGGGTGGTCTGCCAAGCTCTGCCAGAATCCGGTTTCAAAATCCCAAAGATCTTGTCCTAGAACACTTGCCCAATCATCGACCCGTTGTTCATCTGCTGCCATATCAGGCGCTGGATGTAGCGGCTCTGAATAAAAGGATTCGAGAAATCGTTGAATCGTTTGTGTAGCCTTGGTGATCAGTCCGTAGATCGGGTCTGCCTCCCTTACAATTGCTCCTATCTGGATTTCAGCCACGAAAATGCTGAGATCTTGCAATATTCTTGTCCTTGATTTGCCGAGCGGTAGTGGCGTACTTTGCTGCTTGAGCATCGCAAGCAGGACTATACCAGCGGCGGGTAGACCATAGTGTGCAATCTGACTTGCTTAGCTATATCTCCCTAATAGACATAAGCATATCTTGGGGGAGTTCCAAGGTTACCTTCCAAACAAGCCCGGTGCCAGAGTTAGTAAGTTGGTCTCGATTGAGAATAACCTCAACGACCAGGGCAAGCATCTCTCCGGCGATGGTGACTACCGAGGAGTCGGGATCGACAAGAGTGGTCAACAGTAACAGGCGAAGCAGAAAGAGAACATGGAGCTGATTGAGCCGTACACTAATCAAGAAATCTTGGTCGAATGGTGACTTTCGAATGTACTGTCTGATGCTGCCCTCTAGTCGGAAATGCGGAGGCAGTGCCCGCCACTGAGCCTCGGCCCGATCTTGAATAGCACTACTGCTGTTAGCCAGGTTCATTTCGACTATCCGAACTGTTAGGATATACCTGATCTTTTCTGCACTTGCATGTGGCTTGTCTCGAGCCAGCTCGAGAATTTCCTCCTTCAAGGAAGCGCACAGAGCAGACCAGCGTGTTTCTTCTGTATAACTAGGCTTTGCATCCGGGTCCCATTCTGTCTTGTCCTGTGAGTCTGGAGAACTTGAGGGAATTTGAAAGTGGCAGAAACGCTTGCTCATGCGTGGCGGCCTCCCCAGAAAGATGGCAATATTCTTGTCTGCCGAGTAGATCCTCGCAAAAGCCGTCTCTCGCACCTTCATGAGAAAGGGAGGTGTCTCTGTTTTGGTCTCGATGTTCTCATGGTAACCCAGCGCAAACATGGAAGACATGACATCCCCGAGTTTGCGCCAAGGATGATAGCCTTGCTGCATGAGCCGATGTTTTCTCCACATGGGTGTGATAAGTCAACTTACTTTGAGCGCCGTCGACATACGAGTGTATGATGAAGTTCTCGTATTGTAAGATAAGCTGTACATCATTCAGACAATCGAGAGATAGAGCGATTTCCAGCGAGGCGTCACTGAACATCGTACAGAGCTGACGGAGAGCATACTGCTCTTCCCGTGTCATATATAATTGGGGAAAGAAGGGGATATCGTATGTTGCTCGACTCACAGCCGAGAAAAAGATGCCTAGAGCCTCCCATCGCAGATTATTGCCCACAGACTGAGCCATGAACTCAGAAAGGCTTGTGCTAGAACCAAACTCCAAGGGCTGTGCTGAATTCCGGAGAAGACGCCTTGCGAAAGCCATATACCAATCTTCGTCTTGTGAGAGGGTTGACAGCGAGTGAATAATGCTTCGCGAATATCCTTCCACAAATGGTTCGGCAAGCGCAAGGTTCGCTCCTTTCGCAAGCCATAGAAGGACCAGACCGTTCATGGCTGTCAATGGAAATGTGTTTAACAACTGCCTGAGGATATCGAGTCCTTGTAGCAGACAAGTCTCGTCGGCCAGGTGGGGATATGGTGATTCTAACAGAGTCGTCTCAGAAGAGTGTGGTACTCCTGCAGTAGGGCTTTGATCTAATGAAATGTGGTCGAATATCGTAGCATGACTCGAAGACCCTAGATACCCAGGGTTTGGGTATACATTAGGCCTGGGGTTGAAAGAAGATGTTGGAAGTCCCGATGAATGAACCCTTTTGGAGACGCCTGGGGATGATGGATTGGCTAGTCGTTTCTTTTTGAACGGGGCGACTCTGTAGATACACATGGCTGTTTTATTGTTGTTCTCACAACGCGTGCATGTTGGTCGCTTGTGGTCGCAGGCGAGTTTGGCCTTCCTACAGACCTCACAGGCTGCAAGTCGTGATGCCATAGCGAGCTAGTGTAGATGTAAATCCAGTTTACTCCGTATGTTTGAGGATGGGTCGGTGAGAGAAGATCGGAGGGATCGGAGTCATCGGAGTAGATGCGGAACCGCTTATCTTATCGCGCTAATAAGCCCCAAGCAGGAAATGTTAACAGCATAAATATCTCTGACTCACTAGTTCCAAGCTAGTATGGTATACTGTGTTAGTTACGATGGAATAGTGGATTATTCGACCTGGATATAGTGCACTACAAGTGATTGACCTCCGTACATTCTGCCATCAAGCGTACAGATAAGGACAAACCCTAGACAGAAAGAGAAATATCACAATAAACAACTTCATTCGCCCGAATGGAGGATTCACAACTTCTTCTCCAACTTTTTCAAGAATCTATTCACGCCACTTTCAACTCGCGAGGCGTTTTCCTCCAGCTTCCGAGGCCGCTGCCCGGGGTTCTGCATCGCTTGATGCGTATATTTTTGGGCATGAGAGGTAGCCTCTGCCTCCGTAGGTCGATAAAACTGTTTATGGATGTCGTACTCGCTATTTGTCGATTGACGTCTTGGCGCTGGGTCGTAAGAGTAGTTCGAGTAACCACCTACCGGAGGTGGAGGGGAGGTCGGCTGGGTGTGAGGGTGTGACGCGTACATGTTTTGTGTTTGACCATACAGATGTGTGTTGGGGTCTTTGGGAGGAGGTGCGAACGACATCGTCTGGACAGGTGGTGCATTGACAGCTTGATTGGCGCTGGCGACGAACGAGGGTGTATAGGACGGGACTCCGGGCGGGCTCTGGATGGAGGATCGAGAGGAGAATGAACCGGAGTGTGTGAGCCCCGCGCTTGGGGGTGGAGAGGCGTAGCTTCCCGGCATCGAGAAAGGTAATCCCTGGGTCGCAGGAGGAGGGGATGCAAAGTTTCCTGCGCCCGAGAGCAGGGACGGAGGACTATAGGGAACGCCGTTGTCGGCAGCTACGGCTGCTGCAAGCCCGGTTCCATCGGCACCGTCGGCTGGCGGGGGAGTTTTCTCACGGTGCTGAATCGGCTCGGGCGCGGCTGGCGCGGCCGGGTTGTATGGGAGAGGGGTGAACTGCGCTGGATCTTTCTGTTCATCGATCGAGGGTCCTCGCCCGGCGTTCGATGACGGAGGTCCGTTGAGCGGAGGCGGAGGGGGGAGAGCGCCCGGCGGTATCATGGATTGGAAAGGGCTTGCAACAGTTGCTTCGGATTGAGAATTCCGAGTTTGTCCGTTCTGGTAGGCGGGATCGGTAATGGCTACACTCTCCAGCTGTTGTACCACCGTACTCGTGGCCGTCGTTTGCGGTGGCGGTGGAAACGGACGACGGTCTGTCTCGATCTGGGAGCGGGACAGACAGCGCTCCGTCAAGTCTAGGAACTGGGTTGCGTCGTCCGACGTCCAAAAGTAGATGTCCAACGTGTGAAGAAGCAATAGGTCGTCGCTCTTCTCGCGAGGATCACCATTCGGTAATAGCCATTCGTAGGCGCTGGTGCTGGTGCAAGGCGGCGGGGGGAAGGCTTGCTGTCCCTGAGACTGCACTTGTCCGTCCACCGTTAGTGTACATAGAGTCGGAAACCTGGTTGAGTGGCGGACATGAACCCGATCCAGGGCTGATAATGACAAAAGTCAGCGGATGGCGGCGTGCCAAAGCAGTGGTAGTAACTGACCTCCATTGAACGAGTCCTGCTCGGGGGCCCCGGGGTTATTCGCTACTTCAATCCGTATCTTATGGTGGGTGGCATTGTAGTACAGATAAAGGTACGAGCCCTTATCAAACCGATGATGCAAAGGCTTCGGGGTGGGAGCTGTGAAATAGTAATGAATGTCGGCGAAACTAGACGTAGTCAGCCCAGCTCATGACATGCGATCGCATGCAGACATTTGCAGCGCAAATGGCAGCCTGCGGGGTAAAGTGTATTCTCACACTGTCAGCATTCGCTCTTCACCCTGCAATGGCGGCATGGTGGTCTGTCGGATGTCGGGGCTGGTTTGCGCGGGGAGAATGTAGAGACAAAAGAAGCACGGGGATCAGGAGGAACAGAAATCGGGGACATTGTGGTATATATAGGCCTCAAACGAGGGGAAACAAGGAACTGGCCTCTGAGATGCAGCGTCGAGACCTCGGCGGCTACGAGGGCGCTTGGAGATGCATGATCGGCCGGTGATTAGTTGATTAGCTGCAGCTAGCAAAAGGAACACCACCACTAGAGGGTGGTAGTAGACTACCATCTGAGGGACAAGGGAGAGACAAATTCTTCGGCATATTGCATTAAATGATAGGGACACGGCCAGTGCCCGATATATAGCTATGGAATATTCAATCTGGTCAGAGTATGGTAAAGAATTAAAGAAGAATGGAGACGGAGAAAGCAATGTTGACAGCGGTATTACATAAGCACCCCCGGAGCTTGCGCCGGCGTTTTGGTTTGTCCGAAAATTTCTCATTCGGGCTTCTGCAAGATCGACAACTTCTCTGCCATCGTCCGCGTCCCGTTCTTTCGGATTGTCCTTGTGCTGGGTGTTGTTTGTGTAGGAGCTTGTGTAGGTGCCGTGGACCTGAAGCCTCTTGTTTTGCAAAGTCCTTGCAATTTATACCTTGCGGGACGTGCTGGATGTTCGTGTCGCTGATCTCTTTTCGCTCATCAGGTACCGCAACTATCAATCTACCGTCAACGTCAACAATCTCCCAAGACCCGTCCCAACATGTCTCTCGTCAATCTCTCCCACGTTTGTTCGCATTTGAACAATGCCTCCAAGGCCCGTCTTGGGCTCACATCGATTCCGAACTCGAAACTCCACCTCAAACTATGCCTTGCCCTCCAATCCGGTGGCTACATTTCTTCGGTCGTTCGGGGCGGTCCGACTCCTCCCCCTCAGCACACTCTCCTCGGCCACCCAGACACTACCAGCGTGGAACCCGTGACACAAACCAACGTTGCGTCCAGACGACTCTGGCTGGGGTTGAAGTACTGGCAAAGCGAACCCGTGCTGGGCAAGTTGAAAATGGTCAGCAAGCCTACACGACGAATCTCGATCGACGTCGCCGGTCTTCGGGAAGTGATCCGAGGAGACAAGAGCGGCTATGTGGAAGGTCTGCGGTCACCCGGTGAAAGTCTGTACCTGTCCACGGACCGCGGTATCATGGAGGCGCGAGAATGTGTGGAGAAGAAGGTCGGAGGCCTGGTCCTTTGCCGGATTCAGTAGATTATTTCGGCCAAAGATGGAGCGTTTGTTTTATGAATGTTGTGGGATTTGCATTTATACTGGAGTTAGGATTGTCGCAGTGTCTTATCCCATAATTTGGTATCTGATATTTGCGATTGCTGGGATAGATACCTTTGTACAGTAACATAGGCTCGACTTCATGTATTACTTAGATTTACGGACCTTTTCCTTCATTAACTGTTTATTATTCACTCTCTCGTATTCTGTTTTGGTGCAGACAGATGTAGCACATGTGGAATGTTCCGTCTCGATGCGATTGTCATGTGTCTCCGCCCTTCCGCCTTCCGCCTGCAACAACGGCGGTCAATCGCTTCCTCTTCTATGGAAAAGCATTCAACGCCTCCTACACGAGACCGATCTTTTCTATTCCTCTCAGTCATCAGCGCTCCCGCCATGTTCACTCGCCTTGGTTTGTCTCACTAGGCTGATTGGCAAGCGTCGTTCTATACCGCACGTGACGTGCGCCAGGGGTGTGACGCAAGGAGAAGCGACCTCAATCTAAGAAAGCAAATCGAAGAGGCTTTTGCATCATGTCTGGAGATGGACTTGCATTGAAAAAAGTCCTGTTGTCCGGGGGCAGCGGCTTTGTGGGTGCCGCTATCGCCAGAGCACTTGTCGAGAAACATCCCCAATGTTCCCTGACCATCATCGACTTGAACCCTCCTGGGTCTACTCATGTTGTGCCGGAGGGTGTTTCCTTTTTCCGGGTTGATGTCACCAACAAGGAAGAAGTTCGCCAGACAATTCAACAGATCAAGCCAGACATTGTGATTCACACAGCCGGGATTGTCCCACGCGTCAGCGAGCGATTCGCTAGAAGATTAGAAGGTCTCACTCAAAAAGTCAATGTCGAGGGAACCAGGAACATGCTGGAGGTGGCGAAAATGAGTGGAGTCAAGGGCTTCATTTACACCAGCACTTGCTGCGTTGTGACCGACTATCTCGACATGCCGTTTCCGAACATCGACGAAAAATGGCCGGCGTCTCGTTCGTCACTGATATATGGCGAATCAAAGGTTTGTCGTCATCTGAAGTAAAAGTTCATTACTGACATCTGGCATTCAACAGGCTGCTGCGGAGTCGCTGGTTATCAAGGCTAACGACGCGATGGCTACCTGCTCCCTCCGGCCTTCCGTGCTATGCGGACCCGGCGACAGCTTGCTTGTTCCTTCGATTCATGCATGCATTGCCAAGCGCGAAACTCCTTTTGTCATCGGGGATGGGTTCAACCTATGGGACGTCACCTATGTCTCTAACGTTGCAGATGCCCACGTCTTGGCTGCCGAGAACCTGATGTCGTCAAGGACTGCCGCCGGCGAAGTCTTCTTCATTCAGAACAACGAGCCAATCACTTTTAGGGACTTTTGCCTCTCTGTATGGGCTCACTTTGGCCATATCCCACCTTTTGAACTTCCAGTTCCCAGGGCATTAGCCTACTTCGCGGGTTTGATGTCTGAATGTTTGACCTGGGTCATGGGGACAACAGCTACTCTGAGCCGCGGCAGTGTTAAAGATGCATGTTCCGTTCGCTATGCTAGTGGAGAAAAGGCAAAGAGAATTTTGGGATACGAAGCTCGTATTGGACTGGAAGATGGCATTCGCTTGAGCTGTGAGGTACGTGCAAACTCAAAGAGGCCTGCAGTTGTCCAATCGTCAAACTAATCTGGTTCTTACCCGGGGTTCTAGGATTATGCCCGGCGTCTAGGCGTAAGCTTACCGGCTCAGAAGCAATCCGAAAAGGAAGAATAGTCATCAAATTGAGCCAGTTTCCTGGACCGTAGTAGCCTCGTGAGGCAAAGAAGATAGAGACAACACCTAGTAAGGTATCTATCTACTCCTATCGACCAATCGATCCCCACGGGGTAACCTGATCACCCAGGCGCGGTGGCACGCGTTGGGGTTGATCAGACCATTTCGCCGTCGCTTCCCACTGTCGGTTGAATGAACACTCATATATTTCCTTTAACTTTCCGATTGTCTACTAGATAGTCACAATACTTCGAGACTTCAGAGTATCCCGCTGCGTTATATTCAGTACCTATCTGTATTAATAAAGTACTACAAACCCTCATAAATAACCTAAAAGATCTGAATAAAATCATTGATCTCAAATCTTCTTGCCTAACTTTTACTAGTATAGTAAGGATTTACTGGCATCTATTAACTCTATTCTATTCATAGAGGGATTATAACTTCGCGATCTCTATCGTGAAGAAAGCTGGCTGTAGTATATTAACTGAGGAACAAACCCCTTTTTTATTTGAATAGATTTGAAAGAAGAATACTCTTCCCATACCTCATTAAGAGGATCGTCTTACGTTGTAATTGCATCATAGCCTCAGTAGACAGTACAGCGAAACGGCACCGAGATCAGTCTCCCTGACGAGACCCGGATATCACGACAGTTGGTAGCAGCTGCAAGTCGAACCGTATAATCCCCGGGAGTGGAGTGCTGCGGCGCGAGCGTGGGACGAGGTGCAGGAGCAGAATGCCAAGTGCCTAGGCCTCAGTCTTGGCCTACTGTCCGGTGTAAACAAAAGCCCAAATTCCTGGCCACCAAGAACAGAGAAAAGGGTTGTTGATTGGTAAAAGAGGGAAGAGTCGCGAGTGAGGAAGTTGCTACCGGAGACCAACATTCAATGTAGGCAGGTAAACAGGAGATACCTTCTGCCGGTGTCCCTTCTTCCCATAGTACATTCAGTAGGTAGGCCATTTTAATGTCGGGTCTTTTCGATGAGCTATCTTATTTTCTTTCTTCTTCTGCTTGAATCAGTCACATGTTAGAAGCCATTCGGCACTCAATACACACACACTATTGGTCATCCATATCGTCATTACATAGCTGATCTGCGAGCGAATTCTGCTCTCTTAGAATTCAGATATACCTTATGTTTCCCAAGTTTGCAACTTCATCGTCGAGATCAGACGCCTTTTGAATAAGATCTCGGTTCGCAACTTCCTTGCCTGCTGCGTTGGTCCACCCATCTCCGGTCCACTTGTAAATCTAATCTGTCATACAGCCAACTGCATATCTAGAATCAGAATAGATAATCACATCAAGTCTCGGATATGTCATCAGATCCTGATGCGTGTCAAGAACTTGGTCAAGTGCCATAATTGTGCCTGTAATTTCAGCCCGCTGATTTGTAGGTGTTGGATATTCAGGCAATGATCGGGTCCAAATTTTATTTCTTCCGTATTTTGGCTGGAGAACAGCAGCAGCAACGCCTATTGCTCCTGGTTGTCCATTGCCTCTACAGCCACCATCGGTATAAAAATTCATGATATACACCATGGTAAAGGCAAGCTCTTGACAAGGACACAATTGATTAGAGTATACACAGGAGTGTGTTGGCGGCTTCACTATCTCTTGTAAGTGTCTTGAATAATCAAAAAATGAACGACCATGCTTTTATGATATTTGACACATAGTCTGGAGACTAGGCCAAATGAGATCCTCTAATAATTTCATGGAATCATCGTAACAGGATCTTCCATTATCGTCAGGATCGACATTTCACGCATGCTCTGTACATGGATTGGATATGACGGGGTCAACAGGCAAGGTGCCTGCCGTTTTGTATCCCAAATATCTTAGACACTCGCCTTTTTTGAGGTTAATTATGTGTTCTCTAGGACCCGGAAGTACGGGCAAATGCCTCTTCTGCTCTAGTGTCTGTCACCTCTGCTATCTGCGAGTGTTAGAATGAGAGCTCCGTCGCTCAGAATGCAATAATTGTATAATACCGTACAAGGATCAGGCCCGTAGAGTACCTAGGTAGATAGTAGAGCTCAATCTTGTTCCAGGTGACTAAAAATTGCGCTGGGTGGGTATAGTCGCAGTTAAGCTGGCATCACTGTTGTTGCCGCTAGGGTAACTGACGGAAGCCTCAGGCTACCCACATATTCCACGTGACTAAGATCACCTCTGTAAGTAGGCGGTAGGTTTGGTTAGTTACTTGAGCAGCGGAAAGCTACATTCTGCCATCTCTTCTAAATTACTACTTTTCTAATCATACATTCTAAATTCGACTGAGCTATAACTCACTGAGAAAGCAGCTGAGCGCAGATTCCATTATTGGCAGTCACCTCCTTTTTTAGAAAAAAAAAAAAAAAAGGCGCTTATTATTCTGGCTGCCATCTCAGGCAATCCGGAAAGGAAGAACGGTTCCACGTATATCAGACTACTTGGCCGGTGTAACCCTGTCATTGATGACGAACAAAGAACGTGTTGATCTGAACACGACATGCATAGGCGGTTGCAAAGCACGGGTGTGTCTCGACTTTGCGCTCACGAGATGGTTTCCTGGGGATCCTATGGACTCTTACAATACTGACCATTTATGCGTACATGATGTTTCACAGGTTGCGCTGGATCGAAAGACAACCCCCTGTTGGACCTTTCATCTTCCCACGTCCCCCTCTTCCCCGCCTCGAACACTATTATTCTTTGGTTTTTTGTTTTTCCATATCCTTGATGCTGAGTGGCGACACGGGACGGCGGTTTCTACCTTTCTACATGTTCTGTTTCGGGGTGGGAATCGTCTGGTCTGCTCAGAAAGACCCCCTTGTTGCACAAAGAAATTTCCAATAAGCAAAGCTGAGCGAATTCGATCATTGGGCTGTTTTCTCGATCGATGACCTGATTTCGTAGGATTCATTTGCAGAATCGTCCACCCATAGGACGAGAATAGGCCAATACGATGGCTTGCAGTTTGGGCAACAAGGCCTGCAGTAATGTATGCCCAACTGTGTCGAGAAGTATCAGAATCCCAACAGGACAGGTGAGGATCCATGCTCTCCACAGTAGGATCCCAAATTTAGGCCGCCATCAGTCCGACTCTGGCGCGTGCTCCATATCCACAATTGCCATTATCCAGACATCGTGATAATAACATGGACTAGTAGCCCGTATGCCTAGAAGTCTGCTCTAGATGGGCCGGTGATCAACATCAATTCCGGTAACCCACAACAGCTGAGTGAGGGAAAACGATTTTCGGTGAGAAGAGAGCAATTGTCTAGATCACCAGGAGAATCAGATGGGATGATGGAAAAAAGAAGGTGTGATGGCTTGGGGGTTCTGAGGCCGACAACCCCTTAGGCCGCACGGGATCTCCCGAGGGTGTTTCGCCCTTCCATCGACGACCCTTCCTGATCTTCCCTCTTTCTTTCCCTTTCTTCCCACCCCCGCTGTCAACTCAATCCCCAAGACCCTCTCTGCGATCTCATTGATGAATGATCTCTGATGGGGCCAAGCCTCGAAACCGAAAACCAAACAAAAAATTGACAACTTGTCGTGGTGCCTAGTGGATATGCAATTATGCATGCGCCCAGCTGGATCCTGACGGACATTGCTGCCCAAACCCCCCCCCCAACATGCAGCCGCCAATCCTGTGCTCTTCTGCTCCTTTTTCTCCATCTTGTTGCTCTATCTCCTATGTGGTGGATACGATCAACAGCGGAGACCGATGCTGTTCTCCTCTTAAACGATGATTCCAGTTCTCTACCGGGTTCATCCATGGGGTTGTCATCCATGCACTTGGTTCGGCAGACTACTGGCTCATTGGTCCCAGGTTCTTCCCTGACCCTTACTGACCGTCAGATAAGTAGTAGTTAATGTCTCATCTTCATGCCGTCACCGAAGGCCCTGTTTAGCCTCCTTTAGCTACCCTTGTCTGAAGGAGACTTCAGCGGAGAAGATCCGACCTAAATCGATTGGTCATCGTCTACAGCGTCAACTCTGTCACCTGTATGGTATTCTGATATATCCTCCGGAAGGCTTGTCCCCGACAGGAACGGCATCTTGCCTACGGAGTACCAGCACGCCTTTGCCGCTAGTGTGGAGTTCAACATACCCTGCCTGCCCTTTTACCTTTTTTATTATTATTATTTGTTTTAAAAATTATTCTATTCTATTTTATTTTTAATTCTCAAATTATTGTCTCCATTGTTTTAATTTTACATATCATTGCTCTTACTCCGTACTCTCGTGGAACCGGGAGAAGTCAGAGCTTATCTGGTGTCCCAACGATTGGGCCTTCAATTCCTGCCCTTGTTTGCCTCTCCTCACTATATTAACCCGCGGCCTTCCACCCCCCCCCCCCCAGTGAGGTGTCAGTCGAAGTCCTTTGGAATAAACCAAAGGCCCTCGGAACTCTTTACAAGAACTCCACATATTCTATGCCTTGCTGCTCGCAACACGTCTTTTAGTTCCGCAACCTCATGTCGCCAGTCCTTCCACCCCAAATAATACCAATGTCTTCGGCCTTCAGTTATTTCTCTGGAACATCCGGGAGTGGTGGCTCTTGCACTCACTCGATAGGTAGTGATTCTGACACGTGGTCCCGTCATAGGTTAGCTCTAGCGATGCATTCCCCTCCTTCGTACCGTTCTGGCATACTTTCAATAAATGTGGTCTTGAGAAACTCACCATCTACAGCGGTATTTTACCCCAACGCTCGCAAATTTATGGAACTTCCGGCGAGACTCCCGTGATTTTTCATCCAAGGTATCTAGACAATCTGTGTGCTTTGCCCTCGTGCTACATTACTGGAAAGAGGTCATGTCGTACTGAGACCGCCTGCATGGCTTTTCCCAGCTCAAAACAATACTCGGCCCATCGTGAATGTGGTCCAATAGAGGCTCAGATTGCTGTCGCAAGACCATCGAAGCACGTGTCGCCCGATCTCGAGTTCCCGATGCCCTATAACGGGCTCCCAGTAACGGCACACACGCCAAGTGGGATTGTT